AAAAAACTAAGATGTAATCTGTGAGCAGAGCAGCTCATCCGTCCTTCCTCCCATTTTTTTGTGCGATTCTTTGCATATGTTTGTGTACCTGTGAGTCTGCGGGCCAACTCTCTGGCGAAGAGCACGTTAGCCAGTTTGCTCTGGCAGTAGGCGAGCCCGCTGTTGTAGCTGCCCTGACTGTGGAGGTCGTGGAAACGGATCCAGCCGAAGTTGTGCGCCAGAGACGAGACGACCACGATCCGGGCCGGCGCACTGCGCTTCAGCAGCCCGATGAGGAGGGACGTCAGCAGGAAGTGACCTGCCACAGGTGAGAAACACGCAGTCAGCGTGTTGTACAGCTCAACAGTTCCCACTTAGCACACTGATATGAAAGAAATGTGGAGTTTCTTTGACAAAAAGAATCAAACATATAATTGGAAATAGACTTATAATACAAATTAGCCACATTTTCCAGTTCAAGGAAAAAGTTTTAGTTTTCAAACGTGCACCAAAGATGGATTAAGCAAAAACAAAAAACCCAAATATAGCTTTACCTCTGTCTCTTCCTGTTCATTAAACCCCTAAAACTAATTTCTGTGCATCAAAGTGACATATTTCTAAGTTTTACTTTTTCCATTAAAATCATGCCTTCCTGCCTCTAAATGGCTTCGATGTAACTCTACACTGTTGCTTCCTCTGGAATATCAGAATATCACATCCATCCATGAATTTCCCGCCTCTTTTTTAATATTAGCGTATTTTAACACTTGTGAATGTACTTTGAAATGGCAGTGAACCTAAGAAACCCTTAGAAACATTATATCTCACTTCCAGGATTTCATACGTACAAACTGAAGATAGGATTGTCAGTATTATCCTTTTTTAGAATCAGTTTCTGGTTCCAACATGTATGACTAAATTACTCTAATATTACAACTTGCCATTATGGAGTATATGTTAATTTTCTTTTACAGTTTTTACAGTGTTTTAAGGCAGGACGGGTTTATTTTCATTTTTAAAAAAGCTTCTAAATATGTAATTATGACACACAGAGGTACGTTTTTAGAGGTTTAATTAATGACCAGGGAGGATTTTTAAATGATTCACTGAAGTCTGAGAGCTTTTACCCAAATGATTGACTCCGATGTGCATCTCAAAGCCATCGATGGTTTTGGTGTAGGGGCACATCATCACCCCGGCGTTGTTGATGAGGATGTGAAGATGGTTGACCTCTGCAGGAGAAATAAAAACCTGGTAAATAACAAAACACTCATGTTCTGTAGGTAGACGTGAGACTTGAGCTGCTACATCGCTCTCACCTCTCAGGAACTTCTGTGCGAAGGCTCGTATCGAGCAGGTGTCGGCCAAGTCGAGCTCTCTGACCTCCACTTGTGCTTGGGAGTATGAAGCTCGTATACTGGCTGCAGCCTCTTCGCCCTTTTCCACGTCTCGGCACGCCATGATCACCCGAGCTCCTGCCAGGGGAGAAATAAGCAGCTAAACTATGAACAAAACAGAAATTACAGTAAGTAACAGAAGATAAGACGTTCTGTTGGTTTTGGGTGTGTGCAGGAAAAAGAGCTAAAACTTTTTTATGCTTTATTTACAGAAAGCTTGCAGAGGCCACACAGATTCACCAGGAAACCCTGAGGCTCTCTGGAAGATGAAAACACTAAACATTCATCAGGCATTGTCTGTATTTTTTTAATGCCTTGTGTAGCTTTACTGAACAAAACTACACAAACACAAAGCTTCAGCTGCCATGAGTTGTTATAATGTCTATTGAGCCTTCTCTACAAGGAAAAGCATCAAAAGTAGCCTTAAATGTCTTTCTTTTTATACATAAAATTGCAGTTTACACAACTTTTGACTGGGTTTTTCCTGTTATTTTTTTTTCTTGGCACCTTTAAAGACATTTTAGGCCGCACCAAAGGATAATAACCAGCTCCGAAATGTATTTACTCAAACAATACAGCCATTTTTGTTCATCAAATGGTCAGAAATAACAGAGAAATGCAGAGATTTCTGTCAGATCAGGTAACACAGATTCATCGTCTTTAGGCGTTGATTGATTAGTTTTCTCAGGCCGATAACAGCACCAATAATTAGTAATCAAGGAGACCAAAAACTATATTTGGAACCATTTATGATTGTTGTAAAAATGAGAATATTGGGGTCAAAATGCAGAATAACACAAACGCCAACACAAAACTTTTATTAAAAGTAATGTTTAATTATATAAAAACTTTGACATACATTTATTATACATTAGAGCCAAAGTATTGCATTTTTAAATAAATGTAATATATTAGTAATTGATTTTTTAAAAAAAACATAAAGACACCAGTTACTTGAGTTATGCTGAATATTGGATCCTGAGTGTGTGTCGTCACTCCCCAGAGACCCATTCTGAGTCAAAAAAATACTGTTTTTGATCAATTTCTAAGAATGAAGACACCGCTTTTAAATCTATTCAATACTGCAGGTCAAGAATATCGGCAACTACGTGTGAAACATGCCAAAGATTGGGTCTCCATTGGAGCTGCACAATTAACTGAGTTCACTTTACACCAATGCAGTTAGCAAATGGCAGACTGCAGCGTAGAATATACATAATGCAGCATGTGTGACTCAGGGTTTAAACTATCATCAATCATGTTCATGTATTTATTGCAAATCAAGAATCTGTCACGAAAATCGAAATTAAATATTGTCCCCATAATATTCAGCGTTAGTTTTCAATATTATCATAGAATACAATGATTTGGTCTGAGCTACTTATTTTAAGAAAACTGCGATGTGGTGAAAGGATGATAGTGATGTGTCCCAGTATCAAAAAATACATCCTTAATAAATGCCCTGATGTGTTTTAAGACGCTGCAGTTTCCTCTCAGTTACAGATTGCAGGTCCAAAGACTCTCTCAGCTGTATATGTGTGAACACAAGCTCACCTCTCACTGCCAGGTCCAGGGCCGTCTCCTTGCCGATCCCCGTGTTGGCTCCAGTGATGAGGACCGTCTTCCCGTCCAGTCGAGCTGAAGATTTACAAACTCCTCCTGCTGCGTATTTTCTGTTCAACAGCGACCACAGATTAATACTACACACACTGATGTAGAGCAGAGCGGTGGACGGCACAGCCAGGTTAACAATTAAGCGAGATGCGTGGAGTCACAATTCACAAAGATGGCTCTGTGTTAACCTGCTAGATCACCATGGTAACAGATGCTGCACAGACAACCTGCTCTGGAGGACTTTATAGAAGAGAATGTCCTATATTAGTCCCACCAGGGGACATTTACAACATCACACCAGCAAAGTGACAGTAAGAAAAGCAAGAACACATAACTAGGTTCTGGTCAGAGTTAGATTCTCATGTTGTGTATAGAGTTTCATGTTCGGTCCTGATGTGCTGCCTGATCTGTTTCACAGCTAATAGAACACGGTCAAAGAAATAGTAGTCTGGTGGTATTTATCACAGACAATATTAAATTAAATAACATTAATATCACCTTGATTTGGCTAAAAACACATTTTATTTTAACATATCCTTCATTATAGGGCAGACATAAATGCACTTCTTGCATTTTTTGAGTGTCATGTTTAAATGTAAGAATGTTTAAAGCAATCACTGGCAGTAAAATAAATACAGTTGAAACCAGAAGTTTACATCCACTGTATAAAAAGACACATAACCTTTTTTTCTCACTGTCTGACATTAAACAAGAGTAAACTTTTCCTGTTTTAGGTCACTTAGGATTACGAAAATTATTTCTATTTGTTAAACACCAGAATAATGAGAGAGAGAATGTTTTATAACTTTCTTCAAAGTCAGAAGTTTACGTGCATTTCCTTAGCATTTGGTAGCATTGCCTTTAAACCGTATGACTTGGGTCAAACATTTTGGGTTTCCTTCCACAAGCTTCTCACAATAGTTTGCTGGAATTTAAGTATCCTTTAAAATATCTTATTTGTCAGCATTTATTCTTATGCACCAGTTAAACTCCTGCTATGATACTGGTATTGGTCTGCTCCATGTATCAGACTGACT